GGTGGAGATGCGAGTGAGGTTTGTTTACAGTGCTCAATAACAAAAGGCGAGGGCAGAACTAAACATGAACCTAAACTGGGGAAAACTAATAATAACAAAACCATAACTCACAAAGTCACAGGCGGGGAAAACGTAAGGAGGTACGCAGGGGATGAAGAGCTGGGAAGGAAGATCAGAGTGTGGCGCAGAGAGACGTAGAGATGACCACAAGACGCAGAATGACACAGGTTACACAGACGAACCGACAAGGAGCACAGACTGACACCCACGATATGTACACACAAAAGGTAATCAGGTAATGGCACACAGGAGGGAAGCACAGCAGATGCTAATTCACAAGACGACAGGAAAACACAAGCTGACACAGTGATAACAGACCTTCAAAGTAAAACAGGAAATTCACAAAGACAAACTCAGGGACACGAACAGATCACAGGAGGGAGAACACTAAAGCACTAAACACAAGACCCAAACCCTAAGCCCTAATATAAAATAAGAATTAACACAAAACATAAGATGACACCAAAATGAAACACAAAACGCTGGGTCAACGACCGAGGACCATGACACCACTGTTGCAAAGGCTCTGCCTCCTTTAGTTCACAGCAGGCAGGCCCTGTTCACAACCACCTGCTAGGGATGTATGGATGTAAATGTCCACTTTAAGATGCTGGTGCTTGTCCATGCAGAGCTCTAAAAGTTAAAAACAGCATCTTAAAGTGGACCCTGAAATTGATGGGAGCCAGTACAACCGAGTTAGCGAGGGTCTCACATGGAAGTGTGTAGATTACAGTGGGAGAAATGTAGTGGAAGTACTTTGCCATGTGAGCAAATAACTACACAATGCCAGTTGTGTATGAAATTTGTGCATAAGCTTCATCATTAACTGCTTCCTTATACTGGATCAAGTGTCTGCTTATCAAAATAGTACATGTCAAAAAAAAAAGCCAACCTTCCATGAAATATCCTTGTACATCTTTAGATCTAACATAATCTGCCATCCACACTATATTAGGTCAGTGAGCAAGTACAAAGAAACTCTACAAGCGCCCTTAAGGGCACTAAACTATTCATTTTTTCTTGTGACTAAGGAAACTTTCTGGTTCAGAAAGCTTCCGATTGGCCAGAAATCTTAAAAACAGCAGTGCTTATATGATTTGTGTGCAAAAAACAAGAACTTCTAAATCCAGATACAGAGAGGCTTGAAAATAACCATCATTTAGAGTCAAGGCCCAGAAAAGAGAAAAGTGGACCAATGGTGGCTTGTGTTAAAAATACAATTGAGAGCCTAACTATAACTGATCCTGCTTCACAGGAAAACAGTAGAGATGTAATTCATTTTTATCAGGAAGTCCTAAAAACTCCCTCCTTCAGTTAATCCAAAATGCTGCAGCAAGAGTCCTGACAGGGACTAGAAAGAGAGAGCATATTTCTCCTGTATTGGCTTCCCTTCATTGGCTTCCTGTTAAATCCAGAATTGAATTCAAAATCCTGCTCCTCACATACAAGGTCTTAAATAATCAGGCCCCATCTTATCTTAATGAGCTTGTAGTACCATATCACCCTATTAGAGCACTTCGCTCTTGCTCTGCAGGCCTACTTGTTGTTCCTAGAGTATTTAAAAGTAGAATGGGAGGGAGAGCTTTCAGTTTTCAGGCCCCTCTTCTGTGGAACCAGCTTCCAGTTTGGATTCAGGAGACAGACACTATCTCTACTTTTAAGACTAGGCTTAAAAATCTCAGTGAAACTTTATTTCCTGTGAATTGGTTCCGAAGCTTGAGGCTGTGCCGTTTGCAGGGTGTGTGTGTGTTTCCTGGGTTTTAAAAAGGAGACACTTCTGTTTACATAAGTTAAAACAAACTAGATGGAACACGAGACCTTGTTTATGTGTGTGCACACATTTCAAATAATAATTTTCGCCCCACTGATCTGACTGTCAGAGTGATTGAGGTGGCGCCTCTTGCCTGTTTCATAACTGCAAGAACCACTGAAGCGTGCGTTTGTGTGTGTGAAATAAGGTGGTCGTCAAAATGAATGACTTAGTGATTTTATGAGCAAGGACACTGATTTTGATCCCTAAACTGTGCGTGTATAATACTTGTATGAACAAGTGTCCTCTTATTGTTCGCATCATCTTATAACAGCAACATAAATGGACTCCGAAGGAGAACACAAAAATATGCACTGGCTTCTTTCCGAGAAAGTTTACCTATGTCAGTCACCTCAGTGACTCAGTCACCTTATTTCACCTGAAATAGAGTAAATCTAAACGAGGGTTAAGGCCCCCACTGGGTGACCCTTTGTCGAGCTCTGCGTGTACACAGAGCCAATACAGAAGCTACAAGATGTGCATTGGTGCAGTCCTCCAGATAGCCAAAAGTATGTCAGCTATGGGCCGATCCTATATAATAATAATCATCATAACAATAATAATTATAACGATTAAAGAAAAAAGGAATACACCAGAAGACTAAAATATGTTAATCAGTAGAAAAAAAGTGAGAAAAAGGGCGATAAAAGATGTCATCACATAAAAAGCAAGTCCTTAAAGGAACTGACTCTACAAGCTTTATGTCCTCTTCTAAGGCCCCAATTGAAAAAGGATGGTGACCTTCAAACTGAAAACTTGACTTTGGAAAGGCTCCATCCGTGGATCTAACGATGTGACTGGCTCAGATGAAGCAGAGGGCAGGTCCGGGCGTGCTTTAGAAGTTATTATCTTAAAATCAATTCTAAAATGTACAGGGAGCAAACGGATTAATCCATGAAGTCAGGATTAGAACAATGTTATTCTGCAGTTTGCATTGGTTTTAAATCTAGAGCTGGATCTAATTTAGAGGAAGCAGAACTGGACAGCTTTTTGTTGTTGTTGTTGTGTTGGTCCGATTTAAATTGTCCACTCAAATCTGTCCCCCTTTGGGTTCTAAAACAGCCCTGACCTGTCGAGGCACAGACTTCACCAGACCCGTGAAGGTGTGCTGTGGAATCTGACCATGCCACTTGCCCTAATGCTCTGTGGTCTAGTTCTGATACTCACATGCCCATTGTTGGTACTTTCAGTAGTGGACAGGGGCCACCATGGACACCCTGACCAACACGCTCTCATCCCAACGTGGAACATACCGATGACTGTGACAAATTATCAGCATGTTACACGTTCGGAGACATGCCAGTGACTTCTTCGGTCTTCAGTCTGACTGCAGGTTTCCCCAAACTTATAAACAATACATTTGCACAATATTTGCACATTATGTACATTAAATCTGCTCACTTTCAGATCCAGAATCACTTTGGAAAACACTATGTGATAGGGTTAAGGTTAGGGTTAGGGCTGGAATGGACGGCTGGCCTCTTCTCTAAGCGTCTTACTGCCGCGAGCGGCTTTCTATTGGATTCAATTGACAACACAAAGCGTTTGATAAGGACACAGAAGGGTAACTTTCTCGTTACTATGTGACACCTAGGGGTGTGACACATCGTCGGTATGTTACACATTGAGATTAAAGCTCTGCCCTGACTGGTCTGTGGTTATGCAAACAAACTGTGATACTCTGTGTATTCTGACAACTGTCTATCAGAACCAATAATAACTTTTTCCCACAATCTGAGCTACAGTAGCTCGTCTGTTGGATCGGACCACACAGGCCAGCCTCCCCACGAACCTTGGCCATTCATGACCCTGTCTCTGTTTCACCACTGTTGCTTCTTTGGACCACTTTAATAGATACTGACCATTGCAGACGGAAACACCCTACAAGAGCAGCAGTTTTGGAGACGTTCTGACCCAGTAATCCAGCCATCACAGTTTGGTCCTTGTTAGACTCACTCAAATCGTTACGCCTTTTCATTTTTCCTGCTTCGAACATCAAGCTGAAGATAAGACTCCATCTGCTATGTGCACCTGGGCTTCAGTGAGGCTCACCGTCTACGTCTATAGTTTGTTTACATGCTCAGTTAGCTCATGCTCAAGTTTCTGCTGAAGAGCACCAATTTCTTCTTTTAACTCTCTTTTCAGTTCATCTTTTAAAGTGCTTAGTTCGGTTTTTAGCTCTTGCGTAAGGTCTTTTATGTTTATACAGATTGTAGCAAGCCAAACTCGGAGTGTCTCGTTGTGAACTTGGCCGTCCACTGCTTCTGTTGTGCCATCTTCGCTTTCCAAGACGATTCCAGGTTGTACCACAGCTTTGTCTTGCTGCCGGTTCGTTTTTCTACTTCTTTGTTCATTCCCACCACCCATCATCTCACGTTTATTTGGCCTGTTAAAGTATGTGGTGGGTTTATTATGCCCAACTTAGGGGAGTAGCTAACTATGTGTCTGCTCTCTCGCCACCTTCAACTATTCACCATTTCACTTCAAACCAAGTGCAACCTCTGCTGTTTTCCATTAGCATAAAACTTGTCACAAGAGAACCAGGTGAGTGTTGAAGATGTGCAATTTTTACATTTTCAAAGACAATTTTAAATGTTACAAATGGAGCAAATGCAGTTTGTGAGAGATGTATGTAGAGAGAGAACACTCACCCAGTCACTGCCACCCTGTTTTCGGCCTCCGTGTCATTGATTAAGTCCTTTAGTATGGCCTCCTCTAGTGGTGAATCTCTCTTTAACTGAGGCTCGGGAATGGAAGGGATGTGCTGCCTTACATCATTCTCCTACAGAAAGACGCTTCAGTGACTTCCCAACTCGACTGTACTGTTGTATTACCTGATTGCACTCTATTATATTATAAGGAAAACATCATACAACCTTTCATCTAGTCACTGATTTTAACTTTAAACGATGTGTTTAGAGCAGAACTTTTCGGCACTAACCACAGCAACATATATTTCTTTGTTTAATAGTTTGACTATAAAATGTAAACATTCTCTCGTGTACTCTTGTGAGTAACATAATAATCCACTCACCTCCACTGATTGAGACCCTGAAAGAACACAAATAAACTGACATGAGATATCATCATCCCTGAACACTATCCTTGATCATTGTTCTCATTTCCCAAGATTTTCTCTCTTTGATTCCTTCCCTTATTTCCTCGTGTCTTAAAGATGAGTTATAAAGAAGGCAGGTGTAAACCAACAGGGAAAGAATTTTTTTGTTTTGGAGCCATAATTTTAAATGAAAACAGTTAATATTAGGTATTGCACAATATAACTGTGTTATGATGTATTGTTATATTTTATGGGCCATTTGACATATTTTATCTGTCAGATGAAGTGGAGTCATCCTTAAGAGATGGACAGAGGAGAAGCAACAAGGTGGCATAAAATAAAGAATAGAAAACTGCTAAACGTCTATAAGGTATTCGTCCATGCCTCTGCTTGCATCTTGTTTTTGATGACACAAAAAGATAAATAAGGGTGACGAATTAAATCTCTCTTCCCAGATTCTGTCCTTAAAACATAATTTAAAAAAAAAGAAAAAAGGTGAATGTCAGTTTAGTTGAAGCTTCCTTTACTTTATAGTGTGTTATGTTAGTACGTCAGCTTTAAAGCTGCAAGATATCCAGCAGACGTGCAGCTGCCCTCACCGTTCTGCATGTTTTTCTCCAGGTAGAGGATAAGAGTGAAAGGGTAGATGCTCAGATTCATCTCATCATGTTTGCACACACTCTCCCACTGTTTCTTATCTGACAGCTACAGTTAACAAAATACACCAGGCAGGAGCTACCATTCACATTTTGACTTCTGTGATCCTTATTACATGCCTATGGACTGTATTATATCAGTTTAGTAGCATAGGTAGAGAAATAATGGGTCAAATTGAGGGATGAAAGGCGCTTAAATGCAGAGATGATGCAGAGGTGAAGGATACAAGGAAAGATGATGTAATGGGTGGAGGAGAAGGGCTGAAGGTCATCCAGGTTGCCAAGAACGGTTCTAATAATTTCCTTAAAACAGAGAAGAAGAGGCACAAACATGAAAAGAGGATCTAAAAAAGAACAGTGTGTGAAAGAACACATGGGTGCTGAGAAGGATCCACAATTACCTCTAATTCCTGATTGAAGGCGACTTCTCCCATAACATCCTGTTGGCTGTTGAGACACACCCATTTGATGCTCACATAAAGTTTCTCTCTTAAAGAAGTTGTCAACTTATTACAAAAGCAGTAAGGTTAAATATAATATCTATCGTGTCACTAAAGGCTTTTTATCAACCTGGCCATCTTGCTTGGAATTCCCATACGAACTGTGCTATTTAAACCGTTTCAGCATGAATAGTTTTCGATGACTGCAAGCTTCTTTGCAACCCACCTCCACCCCCTCTGTTACCACTGAGGTTCTGCTGCTGCTGCTGCTGCTTCGATAGAGTGTGGGTGGACACCAGAGCAGAGCCATACTGTACGACCAAATATGACACACTGTGGTGAGAATATTTTGATTAAAGTTGTCCTGACAGAAATAGAAACGGTTAAGTGCTGCAGGGCTTTAAATGTGTAAAAAAAAACATGTATGTTGTATTTTAAATAACAGAAAATAGCTTTAAGGCAGAATCAAGGATCACTCAGACTTTTATTATGGGGCATTATCCTGGAATATAGACATACAGCTCCAGTGAGATATGTTTCTCTTTTGCTGATCAAAATAACTGCCAGGAATCATATATCGTGATATATAACAGAAACCCTTATAAAGAGTGGCATTAAAAGCACGGAAATCATCAAAGCTTGAAGCACAGCTGTTTCCCCAACTGATTTGGGGATTGAAAACATTTTACAGTGCTTTAAAGAACTTAGACTATCAAAGGAAAAGGGATGTCCCACGTGGCAAGAAGAAAAAAGGTAGGTGCAACCTGAATCCTTACTTTCTCTGCAGCGCGTGTACTGATTTCAAGCTGTGCTGCAGGTTTGCTCTGCTTTGAAGACATACACGTGGAAGTGGAATCGTCTCAGGCTTAGACACAGTTAAATTATTTCATAGCTGAAAATGCTAGTAAAAGCTCATTCTGGTTTGGAGAAAGACTACTAAGAAACGAGCAAACAAGAAAGTCTTCACTAGCACACAATTAGGATTCGACTGTTACCATGTTTATTTCTGCTTTTTTATGTGGGGATGTGACGTTGGTTCATTCTCTATACTGAAGAGAGGCAAAACGCACTAATCACAAAAATCACAGGAACACTTTGAAAACACATCAGATCTCAAACAAAGCCTTGTTTAGTAGAAGACTAAAGAGATGCTCGGTTTAAAGGCGCTTAGCATTACAGTTGTCTCTCACTGTGACTACGATGCTTGATAACTATACTGATATTGACTGAGTCGTGTATTAGGAATGAAAGCATGCAGAATTACCTGAAAATGAAAATTATCAACCTAGAGAGTAACTGAACTCGAAAAACTCTGAAAATGGGCCGAAATTTCATTGGAGCAACTCAAAATGGTACCCATAATTTGCATGGCCCCTACGTGCTTGTATGCAAGCCCGAGAATGTCGGGGCATCCTGGAGGAGTCTCGCTACCTGTGAAACCTTTGTAGAGTCCAGGTATCACCTCATGCTATCAGCAGTGACAGTGATACTAGCCAGATGCAAAACTATTTAAAAAATAGTCACAAACAATCAGGAGGGGGAAAATGTCAGTAACCTCCACCCTCTAACACCATTGCTGTGTTGGGGGTTGTCTTATTGTCGCCCAGTTGTTGTGAACCTTTAGTTAATTCCATTAACACTGCAGCAGCTGAAACTAATTAACAACCCCATCTGCTGTTTAACTGACCACATCAATATTGCTGAAGTTTAGCTAATATTAAGCTATACTCTGATTAAAAAGCCTTCCTTTCATTTTTCTGAGCTGTACACATATAAACTAGAGCCTGAGTACGAAACACTGTGTATAACACTGCCTTGCCTGTAGCTGGAGCCTCCTCTGATCGTGAACTTGTAGATGAAACTCCCTGCTTTAAAGAATCGAGTTTCTGGGAGAGGAAATGAGAAGGCCTGCAACGGCATAGTCGACCTAAATGAGCTTAGGAAATAAAATGAGAAAATTAGCCAATTCATGTATTCTTTGTTATAGTGAGGATTCAATAGGAAATACAGCAGGGAGAAAATGTTCAGATAGCTATACAGGGCAGATTTCACATGCAGTACTGTCCTTACATATGTTAGAAAAACAAAATTTCTTTCTCGCTTTAGTTTTTTTTTTAATTACCGTATTGTCTAATGCTTAAAATTGCGACCTCGAATTCGCTACCTCGTTCACTGGGTTATCTCCGACCTCAAGCAGACCGTGAACAGTTAAATCTGTATCCGTCAATCAAACGTCTGATTCGTCTCGAGATTTGCTGAGCAGGATATATTCCCGCCTTCCGGCCGCTCGGGCTGCTGTGATTCGTTGGATCCCTCACGTCTTCTTCCAATCCACAGTGTCAGAGCAGGTGTCACTATGGTGACGGCGAAAACCGACCCAACTGTCACGTGACTGTCAGCTGACCACATATGGTAGCTAGTAGTAGGAAACTGTGCTCAGGCTGGAAGTTACCTTTGCTTTATAACTTGTTAGTAATTTCTTTGAGAGGACACTGCCAGTGTATGCACCGCCTTTCCTAAAGAAGTCACTTGAGGTGAAAAAAAGGTGGGGTGGAAATATTTTTCACGTAAAATTTTTTATATATTAGAGTATACCGTCCCCTTCCTGCATTGTAATGTCCACGTGTCTGCCTACAGAAATTATTAAAAGTGCTCTTCAAGTGTCATAGTCTTCATACACTGTGACCAGCTAAATTAGTGATGTTAGTTTACATCTTCGTGTTGCTTGCCTTTCTTATTTTGCGTTAGAGAAGCACCAAAAAGTCTCTAGTGAAACAAGATAAAATCTGTATTGTTACCAAGTTTAAGGAAGTGCTTTCAAGCAATTTTCCAGTGATGTAACACACAAAATGGGGCAAAGGGCAGCAGAAAACCAGCTAAACTCACTTTCTCTATCCGTCTTTGATAGAGCTTGGCAAACCAGTTATTCCTAACAGGGTGCAAAGTAAAGAAGGGCCTTGCAGTCCAGGATGTCGTCCACCACCACCTCCTCTGTTACCCTGAATACTGGGGTTCAAATGCCCCTCCTGGGGTTGGGGACTTACAAGTTGCACGGCTCTGAAGAAGTGTATCGGGCCGTGGATGCCGCCTTGGCTGCGGGTTACCGGGCCTTTGATAGTGCAGCCGTCTACCGGAATGAAGCCGACCTGGGCCGATCTCTGAGGGAGCTCCTGCCCAAGCACGGCTTGACCAGACAGGATGTGTTCATAACCAGGTGATGCACAGGCTTCTAAAGCATAAGTTGACACATGATTTCTAAGAGAACACATTGGGGCTTCTAAAGCTGACTTGAGGTGTTGCGCTGCTCATTCAGATCCCTGTTTCTCTTCCTGTGTTTCAGTAAGCTGGGCCCTAAGGATCAGGGTGAGCGGGCTATGGAAGGTGCCCTTCACAGCCTGTCTCAGCTGGACTTGGGTTACATTGACCTCTATTTGATTCACTGGCCTGGCACGCAGGGTCTAGCAGTGGCTGATCAGAGCAACCCAGGTAGACTCCACTTTTTTTTTTTCTCAGTTGTTTCAGGTGTTTCGGGTGATCTATATTTCATTGCTGCACTAACTGCACAAAACCCATTCAAGCTGTCTTCTCTCATTCCTCCACTGCAACATAGCAGGCATTGAGTAACGGCAGAGATGAGGTCCTAATAAATATTTGATCCCAGGAAACAGAGCTCAGAGTTGGGCCACGCTGGAGGAGCTGCATGGCCAGGGGAAGCTGAAGGCCATTGGAGTGTCCAACTATACAGTGGCTCACATGAGAGAACTAATGCAGAGCTGCAAAGTCCCCCCTGCAGTTCTACAGGTACAATGCAGGAGTTTGAATGGAGGACAGGGAAAGACATTAGCAGCTGTTTGAAATCTCACGTTTTTTTTTGTGTTCTTCAGGTAGAGTTTCACCCACATCTGTGCCAAGCAGAGCTGAAGAGTGTTTGTGAGGAGTATGGAGTCTGTTTCCAAGCATATTCCTCCTTAGGCCAAGGAGATCTGGTTACTGACCCTGTGGTCCTGGAGGTGGCAAAGCAGTGCCAACGCACCCCCGCACAAGTGAGCCCACTCGCTCTGCTATCTTGGGTATACCTTTGTTTTTATTGCAAACATTTTAAGGTTCTTCTGTCCCTCTCCTCAGGTGCTGCTGCGGTGGGCGGTGCAGCAGGGTGTCGCCGTGCTCCCAAAGTCATCAAACGCAGACCGAATACAGGAGAATGCCAGACTTTTTGACTTTACACTGAGCGACGCAGACATGGACAGACTGTCAGCTTTGGACTGTGGACAGAAGTACTGCTGGGATCCGTCAGGGGTCGCCTGAAACACCAGCTTGTGTCCTCCATGATGCCTTTTTGTCTTCAGTTTTACAGTGGTAGTTTTTTTTTTGGGGGGGGGGGGGGGGTGTTTTTTTTTTTTTTTTTTTTAAGCTGTTACAAGTTTTGTGTCAACACTTTGTTAATTTCAAGACAAAAATACAGCATATTGTGGTATGAACTCTAAATCTATGGAACGTCACCCATCACATGACTTTATTGTCAACCATAAGCCATGTCTTAGTGAGAACCTTTCCCTTTGTTATTGGATAACAAAAACTTTTACATATCTGTCAGTTTAACTGTTGCTCCTTATTCTTCATAATCTCTTGCCTTTCCTTTGCCTAATATCTTTGACTAACCAGAAATCTCCATTGAACATAACTCAAAGGTCTTCTAAACCTGTGTAAAGACAATTAAAAGAACAAAATACCTTTTAAAAGCTCTCTTAAAATTATTTATTTAGACCAGAGTTTTCACAGTTGTAGAGAAAATACATTTACAAGTCATTAAAACTGAAAAAGAAACCAAAATAAGAAAAAAAGTAATATTAAATTTTTATTTTCTCCACACACACATCTCCAGATTCAAGTAATACTAAGGATGGTTGCAAAAAATCCAGGTGCCCAGGCAGGTTTGGGGTGTGTTCACTGTCACGGATGTTTAAAGTCAAAAAGAGTTGCCAAACTCCACATCAGCCATTTTATAGTGTACGCGTGTGTCACTTAAAAATCTCATGACAGTAAATGCACCGGGACATTTTTGTGCTTTCTGTTTTTCCTCTGAGTGTAACTTGTGAAAGCGAGCAGTGAAGTTTAAGGCTGTAATTGGGTAAACAGACGAGGCTGGCTATGCGGCGTCACAGGTCACAGCATGTTCAAGGCAGTTCTTTGCAACATTAAATTCATTTAAATTCCATCTGATCTTTATTTTCAGCAGAGTAAAGCTTTATAATCTGACCCAGAGTTCTCAAAACTGTGTGTGCACTCCCTGCAATTGGATAACATGGGTCTAACGTGTTAAAATGCAAAATGCTATTTCTTGCTTAAACACTCGTGTCTCTAGAAATCTGATATCAGAAAACTCCTCATCCCTTTTTTTATAATGGGAAGTAGTTTAAATTTGACAAATGACCAGTCAAGACACATGTGACCAAAAGGATGGTAGAACAGGATGAGTGTCAGGTAAAGTGGCCACCGTTTGATTGTCTGGAATTCTCTGATTAAAAACCAAGCTATATATTTATATACGCATATATATATATTTTTCAATTCGAATTTGAAAACCATATAAATGCCTGCACACCCGAGCACTTCACAACTCAACGCTACAAGTCGAGAGGAAGGAAGAATAAGACAACTTGAACAAACCCACTACCATTTTCAGCAATCACGTATTTATAAACAAGCCACAAGTAGCCCACTCATGTTTACCGAGCTGCACAGAAATGCTGATCTTTGCCCTTAGTTAGAATTTCCATAAAGCATATATATTATGCGCCTTACGTGCCTAAAGAACACCAGCAAAGCTGGCATCAGATCAGCACTTCTAAAGCTAAGGCATGAGAGTTTATGAGCCCATTTTAATCACATCCCCTTACAGGTCAAAGTGATCAACTCACATTTAAACTGATTAAAAACAAAATAAACAAACAAAAACGTCAGGATGTGATTTCTCCTGAAAATCCTTCAAGCAAAAAGCAAGTGGAAATCCCTCATTTTTAATGTGACTGGACTCTGTATTCACCCATGCACCGAGAGCTCAGCACGCAACATTTATCACAACAGCCATGGATTGTACACTGCCTATTGCTGGGTTAGCAGAGCTTAACAGCACGGTAACCTCGTTAATAAAATCTGGCTAAACCATCTTACTCACCCCCACCCCCTCCCCACCCTTTACCATTTCATAAAATGTTAAAATATTTACACATAAAAATTTCAATTGTTTGTTTATGCTCGTCCAAGGCTTTAAACACATATTCATATTGGATTGTGCCTTACTGTTTAACGCCCTCAGCTATTATCCCTGAAGTTTTACAAAAAAAGATATTACTTCTGCATCAGAGATTGTCCTTGTAAAAGATTTTTCCTTTTTTTTTTTTTGGGATAAATTTGTGATATAAAGCAGATGATAGTTGAGTACAGTTGTTTAAGAAGAGGCCTAAACCGAATGCCAAAAAAAAAGAAAAAAGTACTGTCTCCTGTTGCCGGCAGATCATTTTGGCACAAAATGAGCGTGCAAGTCAAACACGAACAGCTTCTGGAGATTTCCTCATGAAAATGAGGAAAGCAGGAAGGAAAAAAAATCTAACAGCATTCAATTTGGCCTTCAGTAGTCAGGTATTATTCCTCTCTCCATACACAGCACACCGTGCAATACACAGCACACCGTGCAATGTCAATGTGAGAGACAACTGTAATGCTAAGCGTCTTTAAACCGAGCGTCTCTTCTACGACTAAACAAGGCTTTGTTTGTGTGTTTAGAAGAGATTATAGCCCCTCTCTCGGCCCATCTTTTTATCCGTTTTGCAGGATTTCGGCAGCAGTTCCTCCTCATCACTGCCTTTCAATTCCACAGTGGACTTCCCAATAACATTGTTTACACCACACTCAACACGAGTACAAAAGTTCTATTTAAAGGTAGTTAACAATGACATAAAATGGCATGACTATGATGGGATTCACTGAACATGTACTTTTTTGCTTTTTACTGCACGTCCCACTCTTTTTGATCGAGCCAAATCCTCTTCAGTCTTGTTCTGATCTTAAATATTGTCTCTCGGCTACAGTTTCCCCAATCCGCTCCTCCGGACCTTGTATCCTTGTCCTCTCAGTGCTTACTCAGTGCGTTGGTTGTGGTTTTCAAGATGGTTGTTCTCTCCTTCAGTCTCTTGGTGACTAAAGAGATAGCTCCACCAGGTTTTAGAGTGGTGCAGCTTCTTGACCTTCATCTCCTGCACAGTGAAAGAGGAACAATGTCAAGTTAGCAACCTATCATCACCATCTTTTTTCCCCCCCAAAAAACTAATTTAAGCCTTGACTCACTCCCATTCTTACCCCTTTATCTAGTAAGCTGTCAAACTCGTCACTCATTCGTCGAAGCTGCCTGCCGTACTTCTTGGCAGCCCACAGAGCAGGGGGAGCTGACTTTGACCTTCGCCTGAATGGGTCTCCCTCTGTGGGAGTACAGACCTCATCCTCCCCTCTAGCCATGAGCTCCTCATCCCTGGCAATTGAGGAAGTGTGGGACTCTGAGTTCACCCTGAGCCTTCCAGCAGCTAAATGGAAAAAGGAAAAGTGAGATAGGTTCAGAGTGTTTTAATGTAAGGCAGATAGAAAGGAGGAAATAAAGAGTAATGTAGGAATAGAGGAATTTAAATCATTAGTTGTCTCTGCGACCAGCGACTGTTATTATACACTGTTATTTTGGCTCTTTTCAGCTGCACGGTAAAAAGAGCCAAAACATCCTCCTATAGTGCTTTGAATGAAGCAATTCAAAATGCAAAACAGGTTAGCTTACAACGCAACCTCATTTTAATGTCCCACCCCAGAATGCATCTCAAGAAAAATAAGGAGAAAGGATATATTCTAAACTTCTCTACAGATACAGCCAAGAAATGGCTAAATAAAGGGGTGGGGGGATCTCATCTAGAGCAGGCTGTGGTAACGTATGCTGCAATATATGTTTTGCCAACAGAACTTCTGCTCAGTTAATCCACAACATACAACAAGGTGCAACATCCAGGGCTGAACAGTAAAGCCAGTGCACAAGTCCCAACAGCTTGCCCTCTTAAAGTACAGTTAAAAAAAATAAATACTGCAGCTATAAACATGTTTACAACCATATACAAAAAAAAAACAGTGTTTTAATCTGTTCACATAATTGCACCCCTCATGCCAAGTGCGTGCCACTGGTTGGGTTGTACTAAAAGACACAAACAAACCAATCAGCTTTTCAGCAAGTGTGTTTTAAGTCTATTTTTTGTTTGCTTACCAAAATTAATATCATACTGTAATAAGGACATCCCTTGCTTCCCCCCCAGTTCTACCTCGTGATTCAAACTGTACATAACAGAAAGAGGAAGCCACAGCGATGTCACCCTCTGGTTTGTGGGAGATCGTCTGAAAGCCTCAAGCCTGGCATTGTGGCCTTGGCTGTTGTTTTGGAAACCGGGTGCAAAGTGACCATATCTGAACGCGTGAGCTGGGGAGTTATCACTAATCCACAAATCTAATTATGCACAATTTCAAGTCTTGATATGGTCCAAAGGGGTTGGCTATTCCACCGTATATCAGACAATTTATTTTGTGTTCCTACCTGTCGTTTTGATTACAGGAAGGGAAAGCGTCTGGGGCTTGCTTTCTTGAGCTTGTCCTGCTGACTGTTGGTTTTCTTCTTCCCCTACCTCCTCTGATGCCTCTGAATCACTGTCTGAAATTTTGAAGTTTGCAGCCATCCTGACATCTGGAGAGATAGGGTGGTGTTGGAAATATGAACGACAAAAACGGTTAAAGAAATGACAGTGTGTCCTTAAGTCCATGCACATAACAGATCAATCTTGTTATGACCGCAGCAGGTTAATACTGGCGTTGCTCTGCCTTTGACCTTTCAAGCAGATATAGAAAAAACCCACAATGATAAATTGGTTATTTTTTTAAATTTACATCTTATTCTAACAGAAGACTGCACTGCAAAAAGTTGCTATATTGCAATTGTGCAATTTTATTGTCATATAACACATTACCCAATTATGTGTAAATATACCTAAGACTCGTAAAATGGGATAATTCATTGTATCGGTGGAACAGCCACAGAGCACACCCAGCGGGCTATATCTTTATTTTTAATGCCCCTGATACTGGCCGGTCCAAAGGTATTTCACTTTAACTACCCACAAGATACCAGACTTGTTTTGACAACACGGACCTGTATTTGGTGTTATTAATAAGGATTTGATACTTGACTGTTGCTAAATTAACCAATACACCTTCTTCGGTAAACACACTCTCTCGCTTGTTTTGTTGTTGACTGAAGAGGACAAAAGAAAGTTCCTTAAGGGCGGAAGCTGCTCCGGCCAACCTTAGCTAGCAGCGGTTGTAAGGAAATGACTCCACAAAAAACGACTCCTTACCCGAATCTTTATCGTGTGAGCCTCAAAAGTGCGAGTGTGTCTTTAGTTTGCTTCATACGGTCGCAGCTGTTGTTGTCCGCCTCTTGTCTTTTTACTCTACTGCACACTTTAGCTCCGCGCTCACCCAATCGCCGCGCGTCACTGCACCGCAGCGGCGCGCTGACGTCACTGTTGCGAGCTAGGACTGGGCTGTGCCTTTGTTTGTCTCACCGGCTTACCGTAATACGCAGCGTAGATGCGCAGTACCAATTAACACGAACAGCCGCCGCATTTTTTTAAACTGCTGGATTTCTAGTAAAATTGCATAATAAAACTTTATATTTAAGAGTCCCGCTTTTACAATCCCACACAATAAATAATACCGAGGTTGCATAAAAAATGCTCTTAAATTAAAAGTATTGCAATTTTACAGTTAGTCTTTATTTGTTTTTTGTTTTGTTTTTTATTTAGTTTAATAGGAAAAAATATGCTGCACTCACAAAATATACATTTATTAGTGTGTCATTACATCTCCTAACAAACTGATGCCTTCTCATGAACTTAGAATTATGCCAATGAAAATACTTTTTTTTTCATTCAAACCTTTATTTAAACAACAGTACAATACAAAATAGAATTAAACAGTACCACATTAATGGTGTTGTACTTACAAAAAAAAGACTGCATAACATAGACAAACAAATAAATGAACAATATTCAGAACCTACGATATAAACACACGAGGGGGAAAAGTAACTGATCAAACCAAAGAATAAATTGATTGAAAGATCTTTATTTTTTCACAAACACCCATAGTTTTTATAGCTTTTGGGTTAGTGGAGTTCTTAATTGAATTAAGATACTGTACAAGTTCAAAGGAGAATACATAAAAAGAGGGATGTCTTCCTAAACATTTGGACTTGTGAATATGAAATGTAGCCATTAAAATTAACAAGTTAGTCATATATCTGTTATCAATGTTGAATTGTCTTTGGTTTTTGTGTAGACCAAATAAAACATATTTCCAAAACAGTACCAATCCTTTAAATACATTTTCTGAGATAAAAACATAAGCTCTGCCAAAAATCTTGCACAAGGTTACAAAACCAAAAAAGATGTATAGTATACTATACATCTTTTTTGGTTGTATCTATAGATTCCTTGGAAGTTTTACAAAAGCTACAGCTTGTATCAATGTCTAATTTGAATTTGCTTTAAAGATAATTTAGATGGATAAATTCTGTGTATTAATTTATAAGAAATATCTTTAATTTTGTTGGTAATTAAAAACTGATTAGGGAGTCTCCAAACTTCCCAATATTGTTGTCAGTAATTATCATCAGCAGATTAAACATGTGACCCTCTCATCTCCAGACAGCTGGCTAAATGACAACAGCAACTGGATATAAGCTAATATGCCAGCTAATGTTAGTTTTGAGTGTCCTAAAAAGAAAAAAGACCCTTTTCCTATGATAAAAAGTTTGCTTACATTCTTATGTCTCATGAGAGTTTATTAGCTAAATGTCTGAGTCTTACAATGTTAGATCCACTTAAAAGAAAGTTTCACTAATGCCAGCGAGCATCAGCTAAAAGCGTAAAAGCAGACAGAAAGGTTCAGGATATCCTCAATAACTCACCTCAGCATCACTGTCACTGGATAGAAGTGAGTTTCACTGACCCACAGTTTCACTGTGGATCTGACTTTTATGGCCTTAAAGTGTGGCCTTACCTTTACTAAATTGCTCCACTCCAGGTCTACAAGTCAGGTTGTTAGGTCTTCAGACAGGGGGCCTCTTATGATTCCACGTACCCATGTGAAGGTAAGGATGACTTTGCTAAACCAAAGTACCAAAACTTTGGAACATCTAGAGTTTCTTGTTTGCACTGCACTGCTTGGGAACTTGAAGCGTCAGCTTGCTCCACAGATTTTATATATATTTGATGGAATCAGGTTAGGGAACTCCATGATCTTAATGTGCTTCTTCTTTAGCCACTAAGAACCTTCACAGACATCTTTAGCCACTCCTTTGTTGCTTTGGCGGTATGCTTTTGGTCACTGTCATGCCAGAAGACTCATCCATGACCCCTCTTCAGTATTCTGGCTGAAGGAAAAAGGTTCTTGGGCAAGATTTTATGGTACGTGCCCCCATCCACTGGGCCCTCAATGCAGTGAAGTCGTCCTGTCCCCTTAGCAGAAAAAATGCCTTAAATCATAATATTTCCACCTCCATGCTTGACTGTAGGGATGGTGTTCTTCAGGTAATACTCAGCATTTCAGCTTCTTCAAACATGGCAAGTCGAGCTAAAACTTAAGACAGGCCTGTACTTTGCGGGTGCTGCAAAATTTCAGTTATGAATTCAATTATGGTATATGTGTTACCAGTGGTGACTGTGGTCCCAACTGCATTCAGATCATTAATGAGCTCCTCCCATGTAGTTTTGGGCTAATCAAACACCTTTCTCATAATCACTGTCACCCCATGATCTAAGAGCCAAGATTTTTGGATCACGGAGCTCCAAACTGAGGGTGACTGATCTTTCCATTTCCAAATAATCGGTCTGGAAGAGAGGTTGCAACAGAAGAAACTGATTCTGTGGACAGACATAAGTTTATATAATGAGCTGAGCTTGGGAGTATCTGTAAATGGCTGAGTTAACAGAGTTTTTGTGTCGGAGCCAGAATTCGGGCTCGGTTATAGGGGATCAAATACTCATTTTAAGTCAATGACATGCAAATAAATTTATAACTTTTATGTAATGTAATGTTTTTTTCTAGATTTTTTGCTTGATATTCTGTCTCTTTCTATTAAAATGAAACTAATACAAACATTTGAGACTGTTTAATTTAAGTGAGCATTTAAGTGAACAAACATGCTAATTCAGCAGTGGATTAAACATTTACTGTATCTGATTAATATGACTATAAATACAATACAAACTTTGCCTTATAAAGAGCAGGTAGAAGTAACTCCATAGTCATTTAAATTACATTTATGATGAAAAATGCTCTTTTCTTTTCTCCTTCCTGAAATGAAGTGCAGGGAGGACTGACAGCAATTTGTTGCTATTCCCTGTGAGAGCACCAGGTGGGGAGGCAGGACTACAAACTGAGCTGCAACTTAAGTCGAGAAAGTAATGGGCATAAACTGTTGTTATCCTACGTGTAACTACAGCTCCAGAGGGAGTTCCTGCATATCTATGGCTTCAGCAATAATGCGTCTGTCAGAGAACTGATAATGTGAAAGCCTGGCCTCGAGCAAACCTGTATATGGCTCAGTGTCCCATGTGGATTGCACTTCATCATCATCAACACAGAAAAGTCAACCATGTAATTATTAACCTTTAACTTGTTTTAAAAAATGTAACGCTGCCTCTAGTCCTCATCTCCACCTTTACATAATTCTTCTCTTTCCATCTTTCCATCAGTCTGTTTTTGCAGAGTCAGTAAATGACACCTGAACAGGAGGAACAAACTGTTTCTGTGGACACTGTGATGTGATTTGAAGCGATGTGATGCAGCATTCTCTGATTCAGTGTATCCAAATGGAGCTAATGTGAGTTTACAAGTTTAGACAAACATCCAAAGTCTGCACAGTCAGCCTTAATGGATCGTCTCAGAAAAGGAATTATTAAATAATCTGTTCTTTTTCACTTCTTTTGACCTCTATTTCATAGAAATTATACAAGGGACTTTGGGTTGGATTTGGAAAGCTATACAGTTAATATCTGCTTTAATCTGTGTGTGTGTGTGTGTGTGTGTGTGTGTGTGTGTGTGTGTGTGTGCTCCCCTTAAAACTGCCATCCATGACAGTGTGTGAGTGTCAAAGCTCTCTGTATGATCAGGATAATTTTCACAAGCAAGCATGGAAGCTCAGAAAGTGTGCGTTTGTGCACGAGTCTGCTGGATTTGAGCTTTATCCGAAGGAGCTATACAATTAGCATCCATTTATATCTCCCTGTACCAACCTCGCCCTGCCTCCCTGCCCCTCATCTGCTAGTTATTTTGGGAAATGGAGGCGTATGCACTCCCACACTGTCTCCAAACCACCACTCAGTGTGTTTCAGTGCACCCATCTGTGTGTGTGTGTGTGTGTGTGTGTGTATGTGTTTGTGGTTGTGTCCAAGCAGATCCCAAAATGTTCCTTTCAATTTAATGCCCCGACACAGCCTGTCTACCGGCACCACCACAGCTGCACTCTGTCCTTTCGAATATTTTCCTGTCTTTGCAGACCCAAGTTCAGTCAGTTAGCTCTGTGCTGGTGGCGAAGAAGGAGTTTTTGAATACCTGAGTGAGAAAGAGAAGAAAAGAAAGGTGGTATGAAAGAAAAGGACAATTTGGTTACCCAGTTCTGAAAAAAATATTAGAAATGCAGTGTGTACCCGCTACTTTGAAATGCAGCGATACAGACAAAGAAAGTGAAAAAGCAACAGATGAACAGATCAAAAGTAAAAGCAGTCCAAGGGATTTGAGAGGTGTCTGAGAGTGCAGAGGAAGAGGTAAGGTAACGGAGGAGCTGAAAAGGTGACATCGTCTGACGGAATAAAAATGAGCTGGAGAGACAGAAATTCAAGGATGGCACATGTGAAAGAGACAGGAACACAGAGAGAGAGCAAACTTAACCTACATCAGAATGAATCCACTCCTGCAGCCCGCTGCTTCGACTCGAGCCCTTTCATCACTGCTCTCGCTACATGCTCATTATATACGGACCGCTCCCTTGCTGTAGTACCAAGTCACTCTGTGATCACAAAGCTGGCATTTAGCAGCTTTCTAATTTGATCCACCCCGCCCTTGTTTAGCTTGCTGGTCTTATGAACCAGCTCTTCCTAAGGTCTTAAAGCCTGGGAATATATAAATGGGTAAAAACGTCTTTTTCTGTGGTGCAGAAAAATATCAAAACATATCAAATCGATCCCATCTGATAACAAACAAACAAGTAATAGTCTGACAGAGGAAAGCAGTGTGCTTTGATCATTTATAGCAATCAATGTTTGGACCAAAAGTGGTCCATATCTGCAGTTATTGTTGGTTCACGATCACTCAGCTCAGCCTCAGGTCCACCCTATATGTATAGCTATGTAGTGGCATTTGGGCCACATTTGGGCCACAAAACACTGCTGTGTTCTTGTCTAGCCTGGTGACTTTTGGGCCACATGCACTCCACATAACATTTGCCAGAGCTGTAACTGAGACA